GGCAGTTTATTCTCTGTTGTATTCTCNAAAATTGTAGGATTACTTACCGAGTGTGCACCATTCGACATCGCCATTGCTCAAGCTTGTTTTCGTCGCAAAGCAGCACACCAAACCGCAGCCGATTTCTGATAACTTATTTTTCTGCGAAAACTTTGTTGAACTTTGGAGACATCATTAATATAAATAATTTTTATCGCCGTTGAATAAGAAATGTTTCTTTCACAAGAAATGTATAAAATTACAGTACTGTATTAGACTTACGATACCTAATTTACATACTGTACAGACAATAGTTCGCCTAAAGTCTCCGTAGCATGGCGCTACGCAGCAGAAAATATACATATAATTATAATAAAGTTACAATAAATTAAGTTAATATATAATTATATATACAGTACCTAATTTATATAATTAATATATAATTATATGTACAGTACCTAATTCATATATAATACTGTACAGACGATAGTAATTTCACCATAGCATGGCGCTTGACGGAGCGGAAAGTAGTTCGGCTGCCTGATGTGTACAGTACCTAATTTATATAATTAATATATAATTATATGTACAGTACCTAATTCATATATAATACTGTACAGACGATAGTAATTTCACCATAGCATGGCGCTTGACGGAGCGGAAAGTAGTTCGGCTGCCTGATGACGTTTTACGTAATTATAGGAGTTTTTTTTACCTTTTTTTACGGATACCGTCGCATTTTTTTGCAGTTTTATAGAAATCGTAATTATAGGGGGGTCTACTGTAATAACAAATTTAACTCAAGTATATATTACCCTACTTCTAATTTAATTCAAAAATCTATATTCAGTATTCATTAATTAATACAAACAGCCAAATGTTAAGCAGTTAACAAATAACAAGCATTACTTAGTAACACTTGCATGTTACTGAAATATGACAAATTTGTACATCACTAGAAGTGCCGACAATACATTTATAGAACTTTGGCTTTTGTTTCAGAAAAAATTAAAATCTTTTCACATTAAAAGCATACTAAGGTTATGAATTTAGTTAAAAGAATTTATAAAAAATTATAAATTATTTTATTTTATGAAAGATTAAACTTTTCATATAATAAAATAGACGATAATCCAGCCATTCTTTGCATAGAAAGTGACAGATTGCTCAATATATAGACATACAGACAATGAATGACATGACCTATCTCTCTTCAATACTATTTCTTTTTTGAAGGCAGACAGATAAATAATATGGAGTGCTGAAATGCAATGCTAATCAATGATAAATACACAGAAATGAAACCCAAGTAAACAAGAAAACAGGATATATGATATGACTAACATTTTCATGGAAACAGAAATGCACAGGCAATCACACTGAAGTTATGCTGGATAATTGAGGGGTCAGATCAATAACAACATACTGTATTTAATTTTAATTTTTTTTTCCTTCTAAAGTTTAATAACATCTTTTAGAGAAAAAATTTTAAATTGTTCTAAATTAAATGAATACAAGAGAATGTATACTTAGACTATAAATGATTGTCTTTTTTCAAGTTTTAAATCTCTAAAAACATACTATAGTATTTGCAAAATTTAGGTAATAAAAGACTTGTTTATAAAAAAGATATTAAACATATCTATTTATACATCTTAAAAATAAATATATTAGATATACATACCTAATATATTTATTTTTAAGATGTATAAATAGATATGTTTAATATCTTTTTTATAAACAAGTATATATATATTTATTAAATTCATATGAACCAGCAACAAAAGTTTTTTATAGACTCCATTATACCATTTTGAAATCAACTGAATAATTAATTACCAATTATTGATTTTCCACCATTTATAATTTTTTGCAACTTAAGAAAGCACAGCTTGTTACTTCTTTTTCAGTGGCTTTGTTGCCTTACTAGCAGAATGTATTAGTAGAGATAATTAAAAAATCCAAATTAAGATGGTTAAATGTAAATACAGTAGATCCCCCTATAAAACTGTTTCCTATAGTTACGATTCCTATAAGATGGCGAAAAAATTGTGGCGGTATCCGTACACAATGGTAAAAAAACTCCTATAATTCGGTAAAACGTCATCGGGCAGCCAAACTACTTTCCGCCGTCCAGCGCCACGCTACAGAGAGTTTAGGCGGGTAAATTGAGTTTACTATCGTCTGTACATATAATTATATATAAATTAGGTACTATATATATAATTATATATTAACTTAATTTATTGTAACTTTATTATAATTATATATATATTTTTCGCCGTCTAGTGCGCTACGGAGAGTTTAGGCTAGCTATCGTCTGTACAGTATGTAAATTAGGTACTGTAAGTCTAATATAGCACTGTAATTTTATACGTTTCTTGTGAAAGAAACATTTCTTATTCAACGGCCATAAAAATTATTTATATTAATGATGTCTCCAAAGGTCAACGAAGTTTTCGCAGAAAAATAATATCAGAAATCGCGGCCGCGATTTGATGCGCTGTTCCGCGACGAAACCAAGCTTTAGCAACGGGCGTAGTCGAACGGTACACACTCGGTAAGCAATCCTACAATTTTTTGTTTATAACGTAGTTTATACGGATTATTTTCAAAAAAATATACGTATTTTGGAAATGTTGAGTCGAATTAGTCTAGAATCGATTAATTTTATGGAAGAAAACCTTTCAAACAGCTGTAGTCCGTAAACTGTGATTCCTACAAAATTTATTCATAAAGAACGGAACGTATCTACCGTCTTATAGAGGGATCTACTGTATTGTGAAGGTAACTATAATTGTAAATCCCCAGTTTCTGTGCTTAGAAAATGTCTGTATAGCAAGGAAAATTGTAAATGAACATGAATTAGTGTTACCACCCATCCGGTTTTCACCTGGACAGTCCAGGAATTGACTCACTGTCCAGGTGAACAATTAATTTTGTCCGGGAATTGCATAGAAATTGTGAAATTACAATAACACAAAGTTCTTGCAAATATTTTTACAAATTTACACTATTTTAACAGCAAAAGAACTCACACTCACTGAAACTCATCTACAATTCTGCCATGTTAGTCTGTTTACACCATTGTGTGGCGCGCAACCTGTAGACTTTTTTTTTCTTTTGCATGTACGATCGTACACATCTCCAATATCCAATAGATCTAAGTTATTTATAACTGTTCTTTCTTAATTTAGGGTTACTTATGTTACTCCCATACAAGTCCCTAGTCCCTAACTGTAACTGATTTAGAACCAGTAAGCACGTTATTCTTCGCATTGTAAAATGACATTGCACATGCGTCAGAAACTTTTGTTTGAGCAAACTTGACCTGCTGTCCAAGTCAGTGATTTTGAAAAGGTAGCAACACTAACATGAATCTTTGATATATGAATTGAAAAAACTGGGCAATTTTATTTCACCAAGCAGATGAAAAACAGACAGGAAATCTGCATTGATTTATATCAGAATATGCTCAAATTAAATAATTTGATACAAAACTTTTATTTTTATTCCATAGACTAACAAGGGAAGGCCACAAATTCCATGTGCAGTTTTTAATAAAACCAGTAATTTATTATGTAACTTATCACATAGATCTCAATGCTCTTTATAAGCAAGTAAAACTGTTCACTTGAATAGACAATACACAACAAAAAAAAACTTGAAAAGAAATATACCTGTAATTAATAAATAGTTCGCTGAAAGGCTTATGGTCAACATATACTTTCACACAAGATAAAATAAAAACAAAGTAGCAGATTGGATTTTAATTAGAGACAAACTATTAAATTTATAAGGGATTTGTGTGTTTTTGAGGCATTCTAAAATAAAAGCCTGTATTAGGTGCTCACAGTTATATAGACCTATTCTTTACTATACTATAAATACTGTCAGATTTGTATTTGATTTATAAGTATCATTTACAGTTACCCCTTCTCTGCTTTTTTTGTACAGTAATTGTAAATGCCAAATTTATAATTTTCTATGGTACAGAGCCAAAATGGGAGATAGAAATTCTACCTTAGTGTACTCTTTTATTAATTAACACAAAAATCTCACTAATGACAGCAGCACTCATTTGTAGACAATGACATGTTATCCTAAAACCAAAAAAAACTGACTTCTTGTTTCCAGTAAATTAAATAAAATGTTAAATATAAGATTGTGATAAACATTTTCATAAACCCTGTACTTTTAAAGAATCTGCACCAGATTTTCAAATTCAAATACTACAATACAGGAAAAAACTTCACATTCACTCCAATCAACCTTACTTCATTATTATTTTTGACCTTCTGAAAGTACAATTATGAATTTTAAAATGTTCAAAAATACTAAAAAAAAATCATTTGAACTACTGTATTTAGATTTTTAACAGGCTGAATGTATTTATTTATAAGAAACCAAATTCCAAAATTTTTTAACTTATTCACTTAAAGATAAACACAATAAATTAATAATTGTGATCCAGTAGAAGTTACTTTTAGGTAATTTGTATATATATACAAATTAGCTAAAAGTAACTTCTATTTAAAATGCAAATGAGATATAACTGCTAAAAGAAAGTAAATTTATATATAAGTTAACAATTCTTATTATACTTAGAGATATCAATCAAAGCCTTCAAAGTTGAAAATTTTTGGCAGTTTTAGGATTTGAATCTTCAGAAGAAAAAAATGAGTCAAAGTTAAATAGATTTAAATTAATGTTAAAATAGTAGTAAAAGTAAATTCCAAACGTGTTTAATAATCAGATTTAAAATTCTAAATTGAATTTGAATAAAACGTGTTTCTAAAATTTCTGCGCGAAAGTGTGTGATGCGTTTAAATTTCTCAATTAAATGGCATTGTTTTCGTAATCATCGCCTCTAAACATTTACTAAGCCTAATTTTAAATCATTTCTCTTTCGTATTTTGAATCTGTCAACGTTTATTTGATGTATTATTAATACATTTTAAGCTCGTAATTCTCGATTTATCGATAAATACAAATTATTTAATATACAAAACCGTCCTTACCTTCAATATATCCGCAGATATCTCAAACTTTCAATTATTTATAAAATCGACTGACAATCAGCGCCACCTGTTCGTTTTTACAATTATTTGTAAAAAAAATTAAAGAATTAAATTAAATAATATAATTATATGTATATTTTACATATTATAATTAATTTTAAATGATTTTTTTGTAATAGTTATCACATCCAAAATATTAATGTTGATAGTACGCGGGCTTGCAAGTATATCCGTTTATCTCCATAACTTTTTTTCAGTAGGGCGTTTTAAATATTTCTGTGGTTTTTTTTAAACTTTTCTGTCCTGTGGGCACTAAGAGGGCCTCTTTTTGCAAGTCCATTATGGATTCGGCCAGGCCCATAATGGAGCGGCCGGGTGATGATGGATGGGGCCAAACATAACCGGACAGACCAGCCCCGAAAAATTCCTGGGGATTATTACACCCGTCGGAGATTCGATTCCGTGTCCCGGAGCGGAAGGCTGCCACCTTGACCGATCGGTCATCCGGCCGTCGATATTTCTGTGGTTATATTAATGCTACGTAAATAGTTTTTCTACAGAAGCACTACATCACAAAAATGTTAATACTTAAGGCACTAAAGAATCAAAAATCAGTTTACAAACGTAGTTATGCAATGCATGGGAATAACTGAAATCGTCACAATTGTAAGGAATCGTCAATGTTGCGGGATGGTTCTGTGGATGTGAATAATTATGAATCGTAATTCAATGATCATTTTAACATTGATTGGCAAAATGTTACAAAAATGAACAAAACTGACAAAAATTGAATAAAACTTTCGTTTCTTAACGAATTCAGAAGAAAAAATTGAAATTTTAATATTTTTAAAATCATATATTCATAAAACTTTCTTCTCAATTATAAGCATATATTTGTGCATAGATTTGCATGTAGATACGGTATGTAATAGGGTGGTTATACATTTGGAATCAAACTGATCCAAAATTATTCTGATCGTTCAAATCCTGTGTACAAACGAACAATAGCGATTTGATCAATGTCTATCCGCGTATACAAATGCCATCTAGGATCAACTGGATCGCGATCAATAATCCGAGTAGAAAGTAGGATCGTTTGGATCGGATAAAAATTATTGAAGATGGCAATCTCCATGGTTAAAGTCAAGCCGATAGTTGATAGCAAAGAAATACGTTTAACTGTCGACAATAAATGTATTTAAAACTTAATAAATGGTAAGTAAAGACATTATTAAAATATCCGATAAACTGAGATGAAAAAAATGAGTATTAAGAGAGTTTTGCGAGATTGTACGGTAAGAATGCATGGTGAGCATTCTCCCATTTTGTCATTATGTGAGCAGTTTTATTCACGGAGTAATCTGTATCACGTGACAAAGACTGATCCGATCTCGGATCAACGTTGCCATTCCTAGTACATTTGTACTTTTCGAGTAAATTGAAAGTACACCTAGATTTTTAGTACATTATAATATTTCTGTACCATTTATGGTACAAAATAATATTTCATACCTTAGCGAAAAAAATGTCTAAAAATTAGTTTAATAAAGTCTCACTAGTGTCACTGCTTGCTAATTTCATTTACCCAATCACAACATACACATGATCTAAGTCGGTCGACGTCAACAACGTACAGACAATTGCACGTCCAAATGTTATGACTTGGTCTTCTTTCACACGTGTCACACGTTTCGGTCGTCTACACAGTATAATACGCAGTGGTGATATTCAGCGGGTTCGCACAGGTTCGGCCGAACCTGTTGTTAACATTTTCAAAGTTTTCCGAACCTGTTGTTAAACACACGTAACATTTCTCAGCGGTTTTGTTTTTTTTTTTTTTTAAATTGTTTGAGTTTATCTTGATTGAACATCGATGTTCCAATGGGCATCAATCAAACATCGATGTGAAATCCGACATCGAAATTTAGCATCGATGCTTAGGCAAACATCGATGTTTGACATCGATGTTAAAATTATAGACATCGCACAGCACTGGTACAGTCATACGCAAGATCCCACAATCCCACGCGCGCGAGAAAATACAAGATGGCTGCGGAACACGTGTCGGGCTATCGACAGCGAAATAAAAAAGATATTGTATTTCGAAAAACGATGACATCTGTCTATTATTATAATAATACCTAATGATAAAATAAATGATTTAGAAAAGTTTTTTCTTGAGAAAAAG